GTGGAGCTGGCTTTGCTCATGCTCTCATCACCATCTTCGGGTCCTGAGCTGGGCAACTGTTCCGAATGAGTGAGTCAAACGAGACACCTTGCCAGTCAAGAAATGCTGCAAAAAGTATTCTGTGAGCTGTGATTGAGTCCTGGAGTTTCTAGCGTAGTTTGGGAGAGCGAGATGTGGTCCTAGTGTCTTGATATGTATCTATCTTGGGGATTTTCTGTGGAAGATGGATGAACATGGCATATTACCGATGAAAGCACAGCCAAGGAGATGGTTTAGGTAGAGTTTGCTTGTGTTTGCGGTGATTTTGAAGGAAGGGTCTTGACAAGGGGCCATGCATCATGGTGGATCGCTTCTGGAACTCGTTGGTGGGAGGTCCTAAGGATCAAGAGGTCAGAGGTCACACAGGAAACCACCGTCTTGATGCCATTGGCGCATAGACATGAACACCATCCATTCTTGGGAACATGATATTGAATGATGTACTCCATTTTTTCAGATCGTCTTTGCTTGGAGCGCCCAGGACTAGTTCGAGTAGAGCATCTTGCTTGGCGCGGCTCCAGCCCCCCTCCCGGTGCCCCCGACCCGATGCGCCGGTCCCCCGCCCGGTGGAACGGCGTGCCGCCATGGCGAGCGGTCGAGGGGCGTGCACGGCGCGGTGGAGCCGTGCGGGCACAGGCGCGGTCCGGAGGGGGGACCGGGGGGAGGTGGGGAGGGGGTCGGGAGCGTGAAGTGACTGGTCCAACAGCGGTTGGTGCTTGGGGAGAAGGATTTCTGGAAGGCCGGTTCTTTTTTAGTTTGGATGTGAACTTGTTTTGTTTCCGTTCCTTGCAGTTGATCTGGGAGGTGTGGCGGAAGAAAAAACGGGGACCGAAGATTAAAACGAGGGATTTTGTTCGTGGGATTTCCCGGTGAGCTGAGCCCACCCAGTGAGCTGAGCGCCCTCCCGGTGAGCTGAGCTCAGCTGCTGAGTTGTGTCGAACTCCAGGTCGTGCTCAACCAGCAGATCGTCCAGGCAGAATCCTTGGCTCCTTGGATGAAGGACCTGGAAAGGAAGTGTTCCAACATGGGCTGGACCGGGAGAGGTTTCCAAATAGATAGATAGAAACCATTCCACAACTTGATCGACTTGAAGAGGTCACCTGTGTGGAATTCATGTCTCCAGTGTGGAATTCGCCCGCTTCTTCCACAGGCACCACCTTGAATTGTTTTCTTCTCCCCCCCCCGAACGGGAGTGGGGCCTCCAACCAACCCGGCTTTGCCGTGCGAGTGTTGACTTTCCCGGAACCACCGGAGATCCGCAGAGGACCGCGCTGCGGTGGGACACCGGGTAAGGGAGCGAAGGGCGAAGTTCTTCTTGGAAGGTGAGGCAGTGAGCCTCCCAACAGTTTTTGGAGGAAGGTGAACACTCGTTTTTGGAGAGACATCATCCAAGCGAACGTATAGTAGAGTAGAAGATCTGCAAAGCAGTCGTGACTCACACTGTGATGTCCGGCATATTTACAGCAATATGATCATATGATCTCCATGGGTGACAGGCATGTCCTTCATATATGTCGTATGATATGTGATGATATGATATGATATGATATCGATTTTCATGCACATCATATGTCATGTGGTATGACGTGATATCGAATTTCATTGTGGTCCTTCATATCTCCTCGATGTTCCGATTTCGGATATCGAAAGAGTCCGTTGATGTGCAGCTCTGAAAACGTTATTGGTCATCCACTTGGAACAGGGACCCACTTCACACAACGACCCAGCCCAGGGTCTCTTGGTAAGGGTACTGTAGGGCCTGGGTAGGATTCCTACGTTCCTTGCAATTGGAACCTCCCAGAATCACCAGTCCAAGGACGCTTCGAACGGGGCCCCTGGCCATACTACCAGTAACCAGAAGCTGACTACACGGGGGCTCCTGGCATCGCGAACCGCACGGAGCCGATCGGAGGCCACGAACGGGTTCTCCTCATCCGATGTGCGTGTCAGCTTCGCGTTTTGGCAGATGTTCGTCCGACTGTGAGAGCGCACCAAGGAGACCCTGCGGGGACTCTGCGCCGGTCATCTGGTGGAGTTTGATGCGGCCGCACCCGACACTGTTTTGTGATCGGGAGAGGAACGCGACGAGGGGATGTGATCGGGTTCGTCCAAGTTCACTATATGGTGCGTGGAACACGACATAAATGCAGTTCTTTTCCTGTGGAAAATTGACTTGTTCATTGCTGATCTGCTCCGGAATGCAAGACATGGGCCCTTCCTCACAGAGGTGACACCCCGCGCGGGGTGTGGGACGCCACGTCCCCAACCGAGAGCTGGATGGGGAGACGATGGACTCCGCAGCAATGGTGGTTGAAGAAGCATGACATGGAAAGCATGCATTAATGAAGCCTCAGTCTCATGTATCCAAACATGCAGAATAGTCACCACCTAGCCGCGACCTAGCCACCAAGCTCTCCATTTCTTGCACTCTACGGGATCATTTTGTTGCAACGCGCGACCCCAAAGCAGCCTAGACATGCGGCAGAACATCCAGCTGTCTCGGGGACAGGAACGCAGGTGCGGGGGCCTTTTTCCCGAACGGTCGAGCTCCCGGTCGACCGAGCCGGACGCATCCGGTCCATGTTCCGCTGAGCGGCGAAGACAGCGCTTCGGACGCGCGACGACCTCGTCGTCTGGTCGTCCGGGCATCCCAGTGGCAGTCGGCCGTGGCGGTCGGTCGATCGGTTGGGACCGGAGGGGAGCGGATGGAACCCCAAGAGCCGTCCGGAGCCTGTCCTTTTTGCCTTGGCAGATGCAAGAAAGAAAAGAGGAGGAGGTGACATGTGCAGTTCTTCGGGGAGGTCGACCTTCTCCGAGATTTGTCCAGACTTCCCCCCCCCCAAAAAGGGGGCCGTTCCACCCACATGACTGTTTGGGCTCCCCGGGTCCTCCATGAGGTGACCATCCCACAGGTCGAGATGAGCATGTTCTCAGTGGTCTTTTGAGGGACATGCTTTCAGGTTCCATGCTTTGAGGTCCATTTTCCTTGGTTTTTTTCATGGTTGGTGAAAAGAACAGTTGGAAGGAAACACACGCCCTTTCGATAGACCAGGCTGGGCTGGACCAAAAAAGACCACCGCTTTTGAAGGGAGCAACCGAGAGAATGGGGCTTACCAATCTGGAGAAGGTGCATATATATATATAAATTTTATACGGATATAGGCACTTATTTAACTTTTCTTCCTCAGGCACTTGGAGCACTGACAGTGACAGTGATTGATCCGGCTTGATCCGGCTTGATCCGGGCGCTCGCGAAAGAAAGATGTTCAGTTCTGCTTGAATTTGGGTTCTCAGACCAATGATACCAGACCGTTTGTGCGAGGCCCAACCAAGCCTCCCAGATAGGTGTTCATAAAACTGGTTTTCCCACTGGTCCATACTCCGCTTCCATGTGACTTTGGCTCGCGGACCGCCGCAGCGCCGGACGCCGCCCCCGGACCGGGCGCGAGCTCTGAGGCGAATGGTGGGACCACTGAGGCGGCAGGCGGGACCACCGGGGCGGAGCTCCGCGACGGGCCATGACGGAACGCTTGTTTCACACGGGGGGCGGAACCAACCTCCGTGGGTTCGGAGCCCATTGCAGAAGATCGACGACAGGCAAGAAGGGCACTGAACTTAAGACCTGAAGCCGCTTTTAGGGTGTCCGCTGTCCAAAACTCATGCATCTTGTGACACGAGTCCGAACGTCACAATATTTTGAACATCCACTGCATTCCCGTGTGTCTCTGCACGATTCTCGCGGTTCAGTTCCAAACTAAAAAAGCTGCACTCTGAGACTCTGAGAAAGACACACTGCACTCAAAAAAACACCCAAACAACCACCGTTCCAAACTCTTGGGCTTTCTCCTCTGGTCTTTGGGCGTTTGCTCGGTCACCCACCAGGCCGGTCCGGACCAGCTGCTCACCAATCGCACGCTCGTGGAGGTGGGGAGCCGCCCGGAAGGTGCTGAGTCGGTTGGAAGGTGCCGAGTCCAGTGGTGAAGAGAGCAGTCTAGACTTGCCACAAACAGTCTGGAACAGTGCAGTCACAGAAGTTTGAAATAATGTATAACTTGGATATGGTTCCCTCTCTTTCTCTATATATAATAGACTATATAAATATATATACACAAATATGCACACACACACACACTGACCTCCATTTTGGGCGGTTGGTGATCCCAAATCAAGATCACTCAGGCTTCAAGTACATGGCATATAGAATGAACAAACGTAATACATATATAACACATGAACCATGTCGATTGTCTTGGGACTGCCGAGGCGTTTGGGGGCACCACGGGCCCTTCAGGCGAGATGGACCGGACTGGCACGGTGAGGTGAGCTCCAAATGCATCCATTTGTCGAATGAATACGACCACCTTGTAGGATGGCCAACTAGTTGTGGAGGTGCAGTAAAATCCAGAAAAACAACATATATAATATACCAAGACTGCTGCTCTAGCGTCAAGTGCGTAAAAGTTCAAGTCAAGGAGTCAAGGACTCGTTCGACAGGGTTGAAAGCCAACTGGACTTGCCAAGTTGAACGGTCCTGACCTGGTTGACCACAGGCGTGAAGCTGAAATCGTGGCCATCGTATAAGGACTATGATGAACATGCTCTCTCAGGGACAAGAGTGAGAACCTCAAGAAAAGTTCGAAACAAGCAGAATCCAGACTCAACACCAAAACTAAACTGGAAAGGGAACTCAGTTTCTGTGCTCCAAGGAAACTCAAACAAAACTTGCATTAGGACTCCCTGAGCAAAAGGCTTTTTGTGCTCAAGTTCTGATGGTAGATGTTATCCTTCAATCGTTCACTTATGCGCTTACAACTTCAATAACACTTGACGTTCAATAAAGAGTTCCACAATAACCATGCGAATGAGATAGGGCAGCAGTGGTTGGATTTTGACATCAGGCCAGCCAGACCAGGTTTTTTGAGTGGGACAACTCCTAGGCCCGACCACTTGTTTGTGCTACAACTCCCAGGCGCTCAGGGACTGACCAGACGCACGAGTCGCCCTCCCTCCGAGTCGCCCCCAGGTGCTGGCGGCTCTCGCGTCGGCACCTTCGATGAGGCGAGGCCGGTGGAACGATCCGGTGGAAGTCGTTTCACATGATCGTTTCACCGGAAGGAGTCCTTCCTGATGATCCTTCTCACGAACCCGACTCGCCTGTTTCGTTTGGTTGACTTAAGACACGACCGAAGGTGTCTTGTGGACTTCGGTGTGCCTTCCCTGCGACAGGTCTTGTACCCGGCACCCGGTCCCCTCCACGCCTACCCTCAGCTGCGATCCCAGGCGGCTGACGAGGCGGAGGAAATCCCCCGCGTCTTCTCCCTCAAGGCCAGGCCGCTGGTAGGAGCCAGGGGGAAGACCTCAAGAAGCCCGGGGTGGAAGACGGGAGGATCCGGAGTGACCATGCCACCCATGGCCAACTGACCAAACTGGAGGATGCAGAGGATCACATCGGCCCAAATGATTCTTCACGCCCTCTGACCACAGAGATGGGAATCTTTGTCCCCGCAGCAGGGAGGGTTCTTCACGCCAACCACTCTCATTCGCTAAGTGTTTACACCTCGCGTTTCGTTCGTTGTGGATGGTTCCTGGTTCCAGGAGCAGTGGGCTCGGATTTACCCAGATTTTTCGCTCAGCTCCCAAAACCAGGTCCAATGCCGTCTGTCCTTTGTTTAGACATCCCAGCAGAGTTGTTCCTCCGCGCCTTGCGTTGTGGTCACCGGGCAGTGCCTCAGGGTGCCGGCTCCTCTTTTGGCGCAGGCCGTGCGGGATTTCGAAAAAGTGGTTGGTTTTTGGTCAGCTCTGGAATGCGAGTTCCAACCCTGGAAAATAGGTGGAACCAGAGAATTCCACAGCATTTCCAGGTTTGGAACAGGATTGTTGGTGAAGACTAGCTTTGATTTCCTTTTGCCTAGATACAGAAACGGGGACCTCCTGTTTGAAGAAGGTTGCAGCTGCAGCTTTGTACCAAGTAGACTGTAGGATTTGAACCACCATTGATTTAATGGGCTGAATCCCGAACAAATGCTTGTGGACTGCCAAAGCAACCCTTGTGGACGGCAACACCAGGTCCACGTTGTCCACGTGAACCTTTCTTTTTAATGGTCGAACGGAAGGTTAGGGATAGATGTTTCTTGAGTTCTTGAGACGTTTTTTTCGATCACATCGGATTCGGATTTGCCAGAGTATGGCCGAGCGCCGTGCGTGCCAATACTTCCGGGGTTGCGCCACATCGGTGTGAAACCAGTCAACATGTTGGCAGAGAAGGCATGCGTTCGCGGCAGCTTTTCTTTTTGACAGAACCTTGGAGCTGTTGGCCGAGGTGCTAACCACACTTCGTTGCCCAGCAGCCAGGCACGTGAAGTGGGGTTTAGAGTCTAGAGTTCTCGTTGGCAAAGCCACACATGGGAGAGGCCATTCGCTTGTCATATTCTTTGAGGATCTTGCTTCTTGGAAGGCCATTGAATGATGTCATCACTGTCGTTGCGGGTGCTGTTTGTTGAGGGTCATGGCACGCGTTGTTGTGGTCAAACCTGCTGAAAACCGGTCACAACAAGTGCTCGGGTCGGTGTGATGAGATGTGACTGACATGGTGAATGCTCGAATGCTGTGACCGGACCATGGGCTTTGCTGGTTTGGTCAAAAACAGCTAAACAGCTAAACCATGCGATGGTAAATCATACCAGGACCAGGACACCCGGAAGCAGTGCTTGGTGGCCGGAAGGCATTGGGGCGGTGCTCGGTGGGCGTCGTGGTCCGCAGAGATTCGTCGTTGGTCAGGCCTTTGGGGCATGGCCTGGGGCTTCTAGTCACTTGGCTTGGAAGAGGGGTGTGTGGCATGGGCCGGGGCGTGGCGGGGTGGTACGGTAGGATGTGGCATGTGGAAGGCAATGACCAGCCATGGGGTGTGCACAGTGCACAGACTCAGGTCTGTCCTGTCCAAAACTGGTGGAAGAAACGGACTTGCTGGAACGCAGAATTGGTTACAGTAAGGGATGCTGAGCGGATGCAGGACACCCAGAGTTTTGGTCGTCAAACGCGTGGTTTCCTGTTTCACCACCGAGATCACCCTTGTTGGGCCCAGAGCCCCGGGGGGCGCTCCCAAACCGAACTTCAGCGGGTGTCAGAACTGGAGGATGCCGTTCCAAACGTAATGGCTACCAGGTGCCTCGCTTGGTCGTGATGACCCTTTGCCCAGAATGCAAGAAGGCTGTCTGTGGCCGAAACGCTGCAGGTTGGGGCAACCACCTCCTGCTGCACCCGACGCCAAGCCAGGCCGCGGTTCTTGTCCATAGGGGGCATAGGGGCCATAGGGCTGCGCTTGGCACCAGTCATCTCAAGTCGAATCGGCGGTGAAGTCTTGGGACTGCGGACCACCTCCCTTCTTTGGCCTCCAGGATGGACCAAGAGCCGAATCCCTCCACAGATACCCCCCCCTTCCACAGGCCAAAGGCCAACGGCTTTTTGGTTCCGCCCGGTTCGCAGGAGGCTGGTCTTCCGGCCTTTGGCTCGGGGCCTCTCGGTTTGCAGCTGGGCGGGGGGGAGGTCGCTGCGGCGGGCTAATCGGAGCCCCGAGCCCGCGAGGAAGCGAAGGACTCGGATCTTTTCAAGGGGGTTTGGGTCACTGGACAAAAGACTCCGACATCCAAGTCAAGGATGTTTGGGAGTAAAGGCAACTCCTTTTCGGGTCACCTAAAGACCATTTCAAACATTATCTTGGACTCCCAGGGTACATGTATATACATTAATGTGGCTGTACTTTTTGTGGGCGCTGCGAGCTGACAAAGAAGGACAGAAACCACAAAATGGGTGTTTGTTTGTTTTCAAATGTAGTTTGAACTTCTTTTTGAGGAGTCGCACTGTGGGAGGTTCCTAGTAGTGTGTGTGTGTGTGTGTGCGCTACACAAGTCAACATTTTGCTGTGCACCTGGCCTGCTCTCTTTTTGTCCAGGCTGGGCAACGCGCCGATGGCCAGTGGCAGTGCCTCGTGGGTTTGGCCCTCGGCTTCAAGATTGGCTTCAAGCGCTGTGGCTTTGCAAAGTGGTATATATATATTATATATTATATTTAAAAAGTAAGAAGCACTTCGCCCTCCAATGTTATGAACGTTACCTATATACACATAGGTTGGATGGCAGGCATCACCCCCCCATTGCCTTGCCGCCAATTCCGTCACTTCATTGACAGTGCCTACGACTTCAGGCACACACACACACACACACCAATCCCAATCGGCTTCATAGAGATGATGTGATTCCAGGTTGAGAGTCATTCCCATGGAACGGTCCTAGTACTGGACAAAAGAAAAAACACCCGTCTTCGACGTCTTCCATTTGGAGCCGGCACACCCAGGTCACAGTTTTTGGCTTCCCAGGCCGTGCCGCAGGGACCCCCAGAGACCCCAGAGCCGTCGAGTTTGCGGCGCTCAGACGGAGAAGACCCGATGGCGGGAACCTCAAGGTGGAAAGACCTTGGCTGAGGTGTGGGCCTGCCAAGATCGCAACCAACCCCGTTTGGGGGCTTCGTTGTCTTCCGCTTTGCCGCGGGTTCCCGCTGGGCCACACTGGAGGCCTCTGGAGTTCGGCAGCAACTGGAGGCAGTCTGCGGCCCGATCGTCGAGGCGATGACGGGGAAGGGGGCACGTTCTGGGAGCGTCAGCAGGTCCACCGCCTGGGCGATTGGGAGCATGGGCGATTTGATTTTTAGGGGTTCAACGGACGGTTTGAGACGATTCTGATACTAATAAGATCGATCATATAAGTATCTTAAGTGACGCTACAAGTCGGCTACAAGTCGTTGGGTGCTCCAAGCTGGAATGACCTTAGCACCCCAGCACAGCCCTACCTGATTCATTGGCGCGCCTTGGCAGCCCTAGTCCACCGCGCCGCGCGGCAGCCCGGTCGTCTCACCTCTCCCAACCGTCCCAGCCGTCCCAGCTGCGCCGTGCCCGAACGGCTTCGCGGTGGGCTTCGCCAGGTGTGCTACGGTGAGGGGAACTTCATGCACGTGTGCTTCGGCAGCCCACAGGCGCCCACCGAAGACGGAATCGCCCATGTGGAGCGCGCGCTTCTGCCGGCTTCGGCTGGTGGAAACAGCACCAGCAGCTTTTCTGAGTTAAGGCTATATCAACTGCATGTATCCATTTGTTCATGCATGTTGAGTGCAATGTGTGGCCACTCTCTCCGCTTGGTCCCACTTCTTTGAAAGTCCCTCAAAAGCCGTCCTTTTGGTTGTTTTGCTCCACAGATCACCTCCAGACTGGACGAGAGGCTGCGAGCGCGTGCCTGGCTTTGAATGGACAGCTCTTGCTGGGAAAGATCATGGCGACGGCCTCGGGGGTAGTGGGAACGATCGGTGAGGCGGAGCAGGGCGTTTTTGGAACGGAGGTATAAATAATATATATACACTGTAATCGGGAAGGATACTCCCTCCAAAGATGAAGTGGAACTTGAGGGGTGTATCTGGCCCAAAGATGCTGGGGCCTCAAAGAGCTAATCGCTAATCCTCCAAGCTCAACGAGCACCACTACTAACGGCGGGCGCGCCGAAAAGGGTGTCTCGTCCACGGTGTCGTGATGATGGGGCGACCTGGAGGAGGTCTGTCGGACAAGGAAAAGGAACCAAGAGAGGTCGAGAGACCAGAACGTTGGGACCCTGGTCTGTGGTACGTATGGGATGGGCGACCAGACGGTCTGAGAGAAAACCTCTCTTGGAGGTGGTCGCACCTCAGTCCTAAGTCTCGAAAATGGTGAGGCGAACTCGCTCGAACGTGAGCTTCAACTAGGTCATCGCTGAATTTTGTGGACGGTGCCACCTCACAGAAATACTCTGAGATATCTGTCGAAGTTTGATATAACTCAAAGAATATGAAAGAATCAGTATACTAATCAATGTCCGAAATCTCTTAAGCCTCTACATGATCTCTGTCGCTTTGGGGCAGTGGGCCCGACTGAGGTGGGTTGTATTCCATGCACCCATGCTGTCGGAGGCTCAGAGGAGTCGGTCTGACAGAGGTCATGCACCCCCCTTGGCTCCAAGAACCATTGGTTTGAAGCACCGTCAACAGGGCCAGTTTAAGACTTCTTGCTTCGTCCCTGAAAAAGACATTCTGCTGTGAGGTCGGTTCTGGCAGAACTCGACCGCACAGTTGTTTCGCATGCGGAGAGTGTGAGATGAATGATGATGGCCACTGTACTCCACAACTGAAAAACTACACAACGCAGCTCACAATACTTCTCACATCCGTCTCTCCATGTCCAATCCGCGCACGGCTCTGCAGTCCCAGCCACCGCCCTGCCGGCAGAGCCAGGCGCTTCTGGCCGGCGAGAGCGAGCAACCGGAGGCGGTCCGGGCGGTCCTCGGCACCGGATCGACGGCCAAAAACGAAGGAAGCTGTATGATGACGGGGGGGGCGCCACCCACAAGCTTTACCACAGAATTAGTCATGGAGTCATGGATCAGGTGAAAGGATTTGGTTGCCAGGCAGATTTGAAGAGGCACATTTTTTTTGGGGGGTTTCTTCCCAGAAGCAGCCATTTGACATTTGGCCAGACTAGTTGAGAGCCCCAACAGCTGCTTCCGAAGCCAGCACCGCTCCGGCCCCTGGTCTCCGTAGGGTTGGACCCTGCGGAAGGTCTCAGTTGGTGACACCATCATGTAGACTCCTGATTGATCGAAACCTCCTGATTGATCGAAAGCTCCAAGCAAATGAGTGAAGATGTGTTCTTCCATCCTATTTTGGGGGGTCTTTCATGAATCAAGCGTCTACATGAATCCGTTTGGGTGCTGGCAGCCTTGCGTCGACCTACCAGAGCAAGCTGTGGCTCCGCTGGCTCCGCGTTAGGAGCGGCTGCGAGCCTCGACGGCCTCTGTAGGCGTGTGGCTTCGAGAGATGGGTGTGAGAATTAGGGAAGGTCACCCGAAGAGCACTGGAAGAAGGACGTGTAGATCAGTCATGATCAGTCTACCCCCATTGGTTGGTCTGTGAGAATGAGGGAGGAATCCCTCCACCAATGCTGACCAATGACGACCAATGGGTTTGAGTCTATTTCCGCTCTTTGAAGGGTGGGCCGTCCTCTTTCCCTTTGCACCCACTCCTGACGTCTGCACTGTGCCGAAACCGCGCGGTTTCGGGCGGTGTTCGGGCGGAACATCCACCGTATGGCGATGGCACCGAAGGCCCTACATGGTCTTGGAGATGGCCATCTAAACCACCCAACTTGGGGACCCATCTACACGTGCCATCGAATTACTCTCCATCCACTAGAAATAACTCCCTGTTGGAATTCCTGGAGGCAAGTTTTTGAGCGTGGCCCCAAAGTAGATATGCAACCCATGAAGACTTGGCCAGAGGCTCGAAAGTCTCCTTTGACTAGACATTCATTGGTCATCGGGTCCCAGTTCCATGATCGTTTCTAGTGCCCATTCAGCAACCTCCCGTTCTTGTCAGTCATCCTTGCATGTCTTGGTCTTGGTTGCATGGAGTCGGGGGTTGAGGCGCTCGGATGACTGAGAGCAGGCACACAGATCTGCCGTGCCCTCGCCCGAGAATCTCTGGATGTTTTGATGACACCTTCCTCTACCAGGATGGTCAAAGCTCTCCATACTCTGAAGATCTCTGATATTGTCAACACCCTCCAAGAGGTCTCCAGTTCGGCTTTTGCTTCAAAGTCTGGACCTGTAGAGTTGGGTCAGTCTGAACCGGGAACTAGGTCAAGAGCCAAGAGCTCACTGGTCTTGAGACTACCAGAGTTACTAGACTAGAGCTTTTTCTAAAAGGAGTGGTTCATGAATGCCCCCTGAACCCCTGTACTTCGGGGCACCCACGTGTCATCACCGCCACGCGTCATCACCACACGTCACCGCCACGCCCCACGCCTCAGCAGGCCTTAGACTAGGACCTGGAAGCCCGGAGGCCGGGCTGGCCGGACTTCTTGCGGTGGGGCCTTGGTTTGGGGAGCGAAAGGGTGACGCCGGAAGCCAAGAAAGACTCCTGGAAAGAGAGCAGAGTTGTTTCCCTCTTGAACTGTTCCTGTTGGGTCCTATCCCCTGTTGTTTTCCGGTTTCCAAACAGTTTTCCTTGGAGACGGAGAGGATCCCGAGCAGAGCCTTCGTTCCCCCAAAACCCCTCTAGGTGCGCCGCCATGGGCTCCTGTGGCGCTTGTTGGACCAGCTCTTCGACCTGTGAACTGACCGTGAAACCGGTGGGGACGTCTTTGGAGCACGGGACGTCCTTGCACCGAAACCGAGAGAAAAAGCCCGCCCGATGAACCGCGATCCGGATGGGTTTACTGGGGCGGCGACTGGTTTACGCGGGGTGACGGTGGGGGGGATGCTGGCGGCCAGGTGCGACTGGTTTGGTGTCTTTTGGGGGTTTTCTTGGCCACGACTTCGATGGGCCTAAGTGTCTTTTTGCGGGACACATCAGAGCCACCGCCCCACGGCGGGTCGGTCGAGAATCCAGAAGCAGGTGGAAGGGGTCCGGAGAGTTTCTTGGCGTCCTCCGAGGTTTTGGTTTTGGAGAAGATCCCGGGTGGGATGCGAAATCGCATGCAGTTTTGGAGAGTTTCTGAGAGGGTGAGGTCTTGGCTGTTTGGGTGAGGTGCTGGGCTTGGATCCACTTGTAAAATGCTGGCGAAAGATGTTTCTATATCTTTTTCCAGCCAGGTGAACATGGCTACAGCCTTGCACCGCACCGCCAGGCCTGAACGACAGTGACCGGGGTGGGGGGTGACCGGGGGGGCCAGCACTAAAAAGACTGCACCCTCCTAAGAGGCACCAAGGGGACTACACTGCTGGGAACCTCCCCAAAAGCCCATCAGGAGCAACCTAGCAAACCAAAAAGATAAAAACACTCAATCAGCAACACACATACATATTATGTAACATCATATGTATATATTCCCCCCAAAGAGCAAGAACCATTCCGAAACGAACATTGCAACCCTTCATTCTTTGGACGAGCCAAACTTGCTGTTTCAGTGAAGCAAGCGGTTGGGTGGCCGTTGGGCGGTAGGATGTCAATTAAAAAACCCCTAAGAATCCAGGGCCCTTCTTCAATGGGAAGGGTGGCAAGGTCCTGTCTGGACCGCTGCATAGAGGTTGGGCGCGTAAGCGGATTTTCAGGGCGGAAGCCACTTGGTTTGGACACTGGACACTGCACAAAAGTGGAACGGTTTCCTGCGTTTTCGTGGGCGTTTTCTGAGGATGGCGAAAGGAGCTGCGCTGCCGGACTTGTTTGCAGGCCTGTTCTTGGGGAGCTGTGCAGGATCCGGAACAGGTGAGGGTGGTTGACCAAGCTTATGAAGAGAGACCTAAAACACTGGGATTCCCAAACAGCCATTGGTTTACTAAGGATTTCACACTACAAAGCCATGTCAACGATCCTTTTCATGGTCTTTGAAGGCTAGGGACAGCGCGGAGTGGAACGTCAGAGGGCCACGATCAGGGTGAGCTTTTCATGTTGCATGAGTTTGCTCCTCTACTACTGCTGCTGCTGCT